AAACGTATGCAAATCACGCGCAAAAAAGAAGGAGAGGAAGTTGAATTGATATGGTAACTAAATTAGGTATTAATGTGATTAATTTTATCTTTTAAGTAAATATATAATTAATTTAATAAAGGTGCTATTATTACAATATTCTCCATATCTAGTAGGAGAGATAAAAATTTCCCTATTTTTTTTCACACGGCCGGGCCAGTTTGGGCCGAGAATCGAAACCAGCGGGCCTATGTCGTCCAATGGTCAATTTTTTATATTGACGGTTGGATCATAACAATCGTTGGAGATCCAATTTTATATATTGATTCGAACCGTTTGAACCGACGATCGGCCCGAAATTGAAGGTTCGCCGGTAATAAAAAAAGGGAAAGTTTCTTCTATCAATATCGTCTTTCACCTCTTCATTTTTACACAAATTTCATCATCTTCTTCTTTAATCTTCTCTATACTCTCATTCTCTTCTCTAGATCTCGAGTCTCATTTCTCTCATTTTCTTACTTTTTCTTTTTTACAATTTGTAATAGTTGAATACTTTCTAAGTTAAAAAATGTTGATTTGTCGTGATGGACAACCAACAAAATGAAAACGTATAGCATCTGCAAGTGGTTATCCATCACTGCAGATACTATTGTTTACGGATGTCCTGGACGCCCAGGTGAATATACCACCGAGGGGGACGAATACTCGGTTTAAACATAGAAGATATCCCTGGAATAACAAATTTATTGTATCGAAATTATAAGCACAAAAAATATTTACAAATTAATTTTTCGAATCAAATTAATTTGTGGATTACAATCTCTATTTTATCCTCTGATTTTTCTCACAAACTATATTAAGTCTTGGTGTAAAATCTCATCTTGATCTTCTCCTTGAATTGATTTGACTTGAATTAACGTTAATTTGAGGGTCAACGTCTTGATTTTAGATCAAGTGCTGTAATTTCTCAAGAACTTGAAGACATTAATTCATAGTCTTTACAGCAAAGTCGATCCTAGATATTTTCTACACCGGTCTTGATTTAACTAACGTCTTGTTTTCGATTTACACGTTGATTTTGAGTTTGAATGCACTTGAATCCTACTTTGAATATTCAAGACCGCTTTTGAATCTCATTGAGAAAATTCTCTAAAGCTGTGGAACTAAAAAATAAATTGTTATGTGAACTTAAAGAGACCCCTATTTATAGGTGTTAGGGGAGAATATTGAAAAAGAAGATACAGTTTGATGGTCCATTTATTTCCACTATTATCTCTTTAATAATTATCTAAATACATAATTAATTACTTATTTTATTCTCTAAGAAAATAATATGTGATACTCTTTAGTTGACCTTCAAGATATACATGTGACATTCTTTAATTGGCCAAAAATATATATTAGAAAATTGATCAATTAACTATTTAATTTAGGAATTTGAATTTATTTCATTTCCAAATAAAATAGAAAATTATTAAGTTGATTTATTATGGACTTTTTACACTTACCATTTATTTAGCACAAAATTTAATTGTCTACATATATTCTTGTTTACGAATGACGTGTCTTGAAATAAATAAGTCGCGACTTTATTTTATTGGAGCTGGAGAAAATTGCAATGGGACTATGGACTATTGACAACTACCAGAAAACTTATTGAGCCCACATGGAAAACCCACAAACAAATCAAATTTACAGACTTGTGGAATTTCAAATGGCACAACATTAATTACTTCATCTTCATTCCAAGATCATATAGCCCACCTAAATATTTCATAAAGCACACATCCATAAGTTATTTTCGAGAACAGCTGCAACACTTATGGCAATTCACTTTAATTAATTTTTTTACTTATAAAAAGGTCAACAAATGTTATTCCTTTTCAATTGGACATTACTTTCCTTTTTCTCAGTATTACTTCATGCCGTTTATGCGGCTTTTCACATCAAGCAACCAGAGCGCTTCTGCTGCTGTTAAATTCTGTTTGTAAAACGGTAAAAGAAAAAAACTTCTAGAATTTAAATTCCATAACAGGATTCTTAATCCTTTTCTCAATTAAATTCAAAGTCCCTACTCGTCTAAGGATACACGTAGCCTTTTTGGCATCTGTAAAAGGCCTCCAATTCTCCATATTTTTTCTACGTTCCAAGTCCAACAGTTACAGTTTTTTTCTTGTGTTCACAGTCTTTGTTTTCTGCTGCTGTTTTCCTGCCAATAATTACTGCATGTTGATGCTGTTTTCATGCCCTTAAGGTGTTTGATCAATTTCCCACGAGGTATCAACATATATTTATTCTAATCCCGTTCTTATGTAGAGCGTAATAATAATTATTTCTCAAAACCTGAATACGTCGATGTTCCATCCATCAGATATTTAAAGAGAATCATACTCTTGCTAAACACTGCAAGATAATTATTTCCTACCAAATATAATAGACTAGCTAAGGAAATAAAATAAAAGCATAGTAATTAAATGAACTAGACTCGGAGACAATCATATTTATTCAAATACGCTATGGCGGTCTCGTCTTCATCATGTTCCTTTCTTTTTCCTGCTACGTTTGTGCTGCAGCATACTTTTCGGGCCAAGGTAAGGTGCTCCGGGACTAATCCCATTTCATTTTATTCTAATCTCGTTCTTCTTTACCCCTGTTTCACTTGACTAATCCCATTTCACTTTTTCTTTTTTTACAGCGTACGGTTAGTAGCTGTCACCATCGCGTGACCTGCTTTTGCCAACATCAAGATTCATACAAACGATTTCCAACAAATTGCTTCAAGCAAATTAGTTTCAACTCTTATAATTGCAGCTAGCAAGATCGTCTATTTCACGAGCACATACATCCGAGGAAAAAGACATCTGATGTTTTTTTACTGACAATCATCAACCACTGGAGAAAGGGACTTGCCTTGAAGTTGAAGATCCGATCATTGGTAATTTTGCACAATCATTAGTGATTTCGTTAGTGATTTCGCGCGGAGACATAGCGAAGAGTTCCAAACTCCCTCCGTTAGTGAAATCACTGATGGTTGGGTCTTCAACTGCATGGCTTCCTTTCTCATTGGGTCTTTAGCAGCATGGCTTCCTTTCTCAACGGTTGTGTTTGTTGTTCAGAACCACAAGATGTATTTTCCCTAGTGCTCATAAAATAGACCATCTTGCTAGCTACAATTATAAGAGGCAAAAGGCAACTAAGAGATAACTTAAAAACAACAACACCAACAACACCATACCCAGTATATTCACAACAGGTTGGGGTCTGGGGGGTCAGTTGTACGCAGACCTTAACCTTGTAATTATACAAGGAGGCTGTTTCCGTAGCGACCCAAGGTGTTGAATAAGACTAATTTGCTTGAAGCAATTTGTTCGAAACCGTAAGTATGAATCATGATGTCAGCAAAAACGGATCAGGGGATGGTTGGTAGCTTCTAACCGTGCTTATCCATGATGACCGAAGTAACGACATCCATACATCATCATCATCTTTTAGGAATTAAGTGTTATTTAATATTATCGTATGTTTCACCGTTACCTATAAATTTTGATGCCTGGGCGAACCTGCAGGCCTCCTTGTTAAAGGTGATTTAATTCCAACCACTTTTATCATAACTATATTTTATTTTTGGCCCAAAAGCGTAGTCCAACATACATGGGCCATAGGCC